TCAGGTGATCACCGCTATGGCCCGTCACGCGCCTGAAGATCAGTCAACCAGCGGGCTTTTGGCAGCTCCCTTGCATTTGGAAATGGTGGCCGAGATATTTGCAAAAGCCCAGCCTGCCTCTTTGGAAGGAGACTTGAACCTCAATGTCTGCGAGCTGTACCAGAAATTCGTCCAACTTAAAGAAGACGACTACTTGAAGAAGCATGGATTTGGTGATGCGAATCTTGAAAACTTTGCTTGTTACGACGATGACTACTTTAGCCGCCTTCACAAAAACTGCGCCATGTTTTTGCTGGTGAGTGACTGAGCGTTGCTGGTGAGTAGCTGAGACTGGCCTGAGAGTGACTGAGCCTTGCTGGAGAGTGACTGAGCCTAGCTGATGAGTGACTGAAGTCTTACTAGTGAGTGAGTGAGTGAGTGAGTGAGTGAGTGCGCCTTGCTGATTAGTGACTGAGCCTTGCTAGAGAGTGACTTAAGTTTTACTAATGAGTAATTGCCAGTGAGTGAGCCAGCAACCTTGCTGGTGAGTGACTGTCTAACTAGTAGTTATTCGACATGCAATCAAATTGAATGGATGTTTTGCTAATTATACGCGTTTACTTTTCAAAAAATTGTCTAACACTTTTTGGTAGAGAATGATTTGGCTATCTTGCAAGATGTTTTTCGTGCTTCCAGTTTAAAATTGATGTCCTCGTAGCCCGTGCTGTCGAAGTTAAGAATCTTTCCTGAAACATCCCGTCGACCACCAGTAACCTTGATGCTAAAATGATCTTCACGTTAGTGTCCGAAATCTTATATTAAACAATTTACACTGTTCACATAAATAGTTATTAGCGAAAGTCTCAGATGGACATCCCTACTCGAGACTGACTTCGTTTTCAAACAACTAAACGTTCTATCTGCCGAACTGTTAAAATACCTAGCTAGCTTTACATGTGCTCGCGACGGCGACCAGATATCTTTCGATGTGCTCGTATTAGCGACCAAATGTCTTCTGACAAAATCATGGCACTGATGCATCATGTGGTTTTCGTTTCCGTTTGTTTACCAAATTTTTGTTAGCAATTTTGCTATTCGCTGTAACTCGTTTCCCGAACGTCATCTATCATTAATCGACGCCTACGCATTCACTAAAATCTGACACCATTGGCTGTCTATGTTTCGTTGTGTGACGTTTCCAAAATAAAAAAAAATTTATTCTATAGATGTCCACGTCCCAAATCACAGCTATGTTTATTATGCCCAAGGATTCTCCAATGTCCTATATTTATTGTGTATTTCGGTATCGAACATTTCCAAGTCCTGCTATTTATATCACAGTATTTGCATATATTATTTCAATGTTCAATATGACTACCCAATATCTTCTTTGCAAATGCAGCATTCTACTCTTTTACATTCGCTCCCGGGCACCAATACTTCAATATGAGTTCCTTAGCATTATACTCAATAATTTTCTTAAAATATCTCAGTGTATATATTTTTCAATTCTCGATTAATCCCTTTTTAGGTTCATAACTAATTTAACCGTTTTTTAGTCTATAGGATTCACTGATTGGTCACAATGACTAAAACGGATACGCATATCAAAATCATAACGTAACGAGGTGAGGAATGAAATAAATTAAAAACTAATAATCCGGGTTCTAGCGATCACTAATGTCACGAGAAAGCACGAATTTCAAAGGGTAATAATAATGTCTTTTAAATTTCAGGTTGCAGATAAAGAGTTCAAAGGCATTGACATTAAACCCTTTGAAAACTTCATCAACAAGAAGCAGCAAGCTTTACTAAAAGCGAAGACGGGAATAATGTGGATGGACGAAGATCTCAGCGTTCACTTCGTCCACTACTCTTTCGTCGAGTTCTTCGCGGCCTCCTGGCTCAGCGAGAACATCACCTCCGAGCCCGCGCGGGCCGTGGTGAGGTCTCTGTACGACAGCGAAGGCAGCGACAACATGAACACTTTCCTCAACTGGATGCTGACTGAAGGTCAGGGGCGTTGTTGGTTGATGGCCTCATTATTTCGAGTTTCCGGGGCGCGACTACTGCAATGGTCATTAGTAGGGGCGGATTTTAATAAAAGTCTTTTTTTTCGCTTTAGAACAATGTCTTTGAATACAGATATTTAATTTATGGTACGATAAAAGGAAATGACCCAATTTTATGTAATTTTTTGTTGCTTTTCTCGTCTATGTCAATTAATAAGTCATTTTTACCCATTTGCGACATTTTTTGCCGATTTCGTCGATTATAATATCATTTGAATGGTATTTGCTTTAAATAATACTTCTATTTACATGAAGCATCAAATGTTCACCACAAAATTCCTGAGTAGCATATTCGATTTCTCTGCTCAGGAATTATAATGATAGTCGATGTGAGGATGTAATCTAAAGGTCCTATGACGTCACCGCCACTGTCAGTTCGGCCGATTTCGAGATAACTAAAAACAGAGATGTTGTGGTAAATAACAGTCCAAACCGAAACTTGCGAGCTGAGTTCACTTGAGCGAAAAGAAGTAGTATCGATTACTTCAGTACCATATCCAACAGTTCGAATTGTTTATCTGAAGTGGTTTTGATAAACAGTTTTTACGTCATTTTTCTTTGTTTTTAGGACTTTTTTACAGTATTTTAAGAGCATTTTATTGATCATTTTTGGCAATGTTTTAGGTCATCAAAATCCGCCCCCTACTGATCAGTGGCGGTAAAGGAGATCATTTTCGGCCTGTGACCCGTTTGTTTTGATACTGCTTCGGCATTCGCCTGGGATTGATCGGAGACACAAAGAAAAAACTTTCGAATTAGTCAGACTGTACTTTGGCCTTTAACTTAAAGACAAAACATTAACATAAAATCACTGCTTTACATTAATGAATAAATTACATGTGATACATAATAAAAGCAACATTTAGGGAATTAATTGTTTCCATCATCAGACTTAATGGCAAAAACAAATAATAAACATAATATTTTAAGCAATTGACAGATGGTCAGATTTTAATAGAAGAATTTGAGCTAATGTACACAACTCACAACGGAACGCACCTTGATAAAATATGGTATTGTATGACTGTATGAAAGAATGTTGATAGAGGATGAGAGGGATACTGTAGATTTAGATTTTAGATTTATTCAGGCAAAAAAAAACAGTAAAAGCTGTATGTGACGTAGGGGGGAAAGATTATCTGCGCACGTTTTATTATAAAACCATAATATAATTTTACTATAACATCAAGACAGAAAGAAAATAATAGAAACATCTTAAATTTGGGGGAAACATCTTAAATTTGGGAAAGAGTACTCAATAATCCATAGTTTAAATTGATAAATTTAGTAGATTCCACCTGTGTAATTCAAATAAGAAGTTTTGAAATATAGGGTTTCTAATATTAATCTAGGGTAATAGACAGAAAAATAATAATCTTAAAAACCTTTCGTTCAGAGCGGCGGTCCGCTAAAACTCTCCTCAATAACTCGACCTAGCTGCATGTAGCTAGTATTGATAATCCACTATTGTCGGGGCTCTAATCCTAGGACCTTCCGGTTTGACACTAACTTGTCAACTACATCGAATTCAGTCGCTATCTGAAGTAGAATTCTAGCGGCCGGATGCTCTGATCGGTAGTTTTTCGTGGTTTCTTCGACCAACACCAGGCGAATATCGCAGCAGTACCGTAACAAACGGGCCACAGACCGCGCGCGATCTTTCCTACCTCTTCCTTGTCCTATGCTCTCCCCGTACACACACACGCACTCACACTTACACTAAGACGCACTACACTACCACACATGCCGGGAGACCGGTCGGAAACTTAGAACTTGTCCCGGCTGGGGCGGTGCCCCGCTGATGGGAAATACCTGGTTGGGGAAAATTACGCTATCCGCGACGGTAGGTCTGCGCCGGATTTCACCAACCAGCGGGGGAAGATCACCGCCATCTCCGGCAATAACAACGTGCACTATTGCGTGATCTGGGCTGTCCGGGTGACGCCGCGTCGAAGGCTGCGTTGCCGACGTTTCGACCATCTTGCCGTGGTCTTCCTCAGGGCTGGTATGCCATGGGCATACCAGCCCTGTATGTATGGGCATACCAACCCTGAGGAAGACCACGACAAGATGGTCGAAACGTCGGCAACACAGCCTTCGACGCGGCGTTACCCGGACAGCCCAGATCGCGCACATGACTCTGGTCTCGGAAGCCTACGACTTCAACGTGCACTATTCTTACGGGACCAACGATCTCGTCAGTTGTCGCGCCCGGAATCACTAATCAAATCAATCGAATTATTAAACCTTATTACTACCTCGAAAAATATGTATTTATATGAATTCCGTTTCCTACTCGTGAGCAATTAATTACATCGTTGCGTAGGTTGCCTGCTGCACCGCGCGCTGCTCTCCCGCGACGCGGCCGCCCTCAAGCGCGCGCTGGACGGCGTGGCGCGCGTGGACGGCACGGACGGCGTGGGCCGCACGGCGCTGCACGTGGCGGTGGCGCTGCGAGACGAACGGGCGAGCGCGCGACTGCTGCGCGAAAGGTGCGACGTCGACGCGCGCGACGCCCTGTTCGCGCTCACGCCGCTGCAGTTCGCCGACCGCCACTACCGGCCGGCCGCGACGGCGGCGCGAGGCGGCTGGTTCATGATGGAGCCCGTCATGCGGACGATGGAACGCCTGCTGCTGGCCGGCGCACGGCGCTGCAGGCTGCAATGGTTTGCGGCCGACATGAGGAATGCGATTGACAAAATTGACGACGGTTATCAGGAGGTAAGTAGTTCGTCTTTGTGGTAAACTGCCTATTCTGTCTTATAATAATAATAAAATAATAACAATAACAAAAACAACACTGGTAATAATAATTATAATAATATTAATATTAATAATAATAATAATAATAATAATAATAAAAATAATAAAAATGATAATAATTTTAAAAATGTATTTTACAACAAACTTATTCAATATTCTTTTTTTATATTCAATTATTTTAAGTAATTTCTAAAAACATTGTAATGTTGATTTATAATAAATAATTCAAATTAAGAAGTCTTCAAATATTGTTGTTTTCACCGATTAAAGTTAGACATATATTTGCCGCACTACATTTTGCACAAACTGATAGCGGAGCATCGAGTGACAGATGCAAGAATCACAATTCTATCATTGTTGAATATAATAACACGCTTGTAATCACTCTCATAAATGTAAAAATACTTGACTTTCCCGAGGAATATAAAAAGTGCTTAATTTAATCCCTTGTGACGTGTTTCAGATGCCTAAAAAGAAACTTAATTATTTTGTAACCTACGTTAAGTACTTAATACGTCAGTTTTCAAATCTAATGGGGCCTAATTACATAATTTGCTTATCCGTTTTAGGTGCCTCAATCATCTCTTTCTTTTTTGCCTAAAATTCCAAGGTCTTCTAATAACAAGCGTTTAGGATTATGGCAGTTAATCTGTCCACACTTTGAAGGGGTATCCTCTCTTTCTTCTTCCTACATGAATGTACTCTGGATGACATGCCACTCTTTCTGGATTCATTCCTAGCTGATGTTCAAGCTAATTTTTCTGATATTCAGGGTTGGGTTAACAATTTTGATGCGCTAGCGCAATTTTCAAATGTATATAAATGTTTTCAAAAACAAATACAGATGTATGTATTTAAATGTAAAGATATGCAAATGTATTTTAAATATATACAAAAATATTTTCCATGTTTTGCATACGTTAAAGAAAAAGGACATGATTTATTATAAAATAATCACATTTATTTAAATATGATTACAGTCTGAGAATCTTTATCAAGATACAAACTTTTGTGAGTTTTTTGTTGTGTGAATTCATTTTCTATATTAGAGCAATATCTATTATTTGAAAAATTCTGAGAAAAAAAATGTTGATAATACAGATCTTTTATGATATCTGAACGCTTTAAACATGAATCATTTATTCTGCATAGTCACAGTCAACTTATCACAAAGTGTGTTAGTGATTGGTACCTGTGCACATGCGACAACGATAGAATTGTGATTCTTGCAAAGTCACTCGATGCTCCACTATCAGTTTGTGCAAAATGTAGTGCAGCAAATATAAGTCTAATTTTAATAGGTGAAAACAACAATATTTGGAGATTTCTTAATTTGAANNNGCTCCTGAACATTTGCCGCCATAGGTCAGTGTCTTTCAGGCCTGTGCAGTAATTCTGCACTGCTAATAGAGTGTTAAAGCTTCACACACTAATGTTATTTCCAGTTCCCTTTGGGGTACCTTCATTTCTCCAATGATCTATTCTCTGCATATCTCTTTTTGTGAGGGTTCAAGTCTCCTGATCCATACAGAAGTGATGGTGTAGTTAGTATTTTATGGACTTTCAGAACTGTCTATTTTAACTTTATTCTCTAATATTGGTTTCAATTTGAAATTTCCAGAAATTTGTTGGATTAAGTGCAGCTTCTTTTCAAAATCATTGGATTAATTATTTCAGAAGTTGCATTCTAAATAATGAAAATTATTACATTGCTTTCAGTTGTTATTATCAATTCCAGTTTGGGCTCTTTATGATTCTTTTCCTCAAAAGATGAATACCTTTGTTTTTGTAGATGTCATCTTCATGTTGTATTGAAAGGAAATATTGTAGTCAGGAATACTGTCCTTGGTAAATTGTCTTCAGAATTGGCTAACAATAACAACCCATCAGCAAATAACAAAATGTTTAACATTTTTCCTTGAATGTAGTAGAGGTGTTTTAAATTTTTTGCCATTGAATAATAATGTTATTTATGTAAATAACAAAAAGAGCAAACTACTTAAGACACTCTTGTCTTACCTCTTGGATAATTACTAAATGCTCTTTGCTGATTTTGTCATTGCCACGTTTCCTGACACTAGGATACGTACGTGCTCGTTCTTGTTCTAATCAAGTGCTGCGATACACTTCGTTCTTCTAGAATTATCCATAGTTTTTACCTTTTAATCCAATTAAATGCTTTTTCAAGGTCTATAAAAAACTATGAGTAATTCCTAAGAGACTATGTTTAATTCCCTTTTTTTCTCTATAAACTTGTTAATTGAGAATACACTGTCAACTTAGTCTAAAATAGTTTTGTTCTTGTAGAAGAAATGTTTTTGAGATGTTACTTAGTCTTTTAACTAAAATTTTAGTATTCAATTTATATTAAATACTGAGCAGACTTATGCCTCAATAATTGTCCCAATTCCGTTGGTCACCTTTTTAATAAAGAAGAATAACTAGATGATTCATTCCAATTTTCTGAAACATCCATGCTTACAGCACTTGTTTATAAAATTAAAAATCTGTAGAGAAAATTTTTGGATGCGTATTTGATTAATTTCATATTGATTTCATCTGCTCCAGGTGACATTATTTTTAAATTTCTTCAGTGCCTTCACAAGTTTACCTATGTTTTTGTTTTCATACATGTGCTAGTTCGAACAGGTTATGAGTTTTATTTGCCCTATTGGTTAAAACAAGCTGCAAGACTCATTTCCCACATATAGATAGCTGTAGTTCAAGCAGGTCACAATTAAAAATTTTGCTACTTCACTAACTCTGTGGAGTTTCTCAAGAATGTAGTAATTTCTTTTCGTTTATTTTTGTTCATGAATTTTTTACAATTAAAATTGTAAATTGTAAAATATCAATACCATTTTACTTCTGTCATTCTCTTTCCTCTATTTTCACTCTTCTTTCTTTTGCCTTTTCTCTTTTTCATTTTCTTTCATTTGCCATCTTTTCTTTCTTTGATTACTTTTTATTGTTTCCTTTGTGTCCTTAAGGACACTAAATTTCTAATAAATTCATATAGGCAAGATTCAAACAAATTCTTTTTACAATTTCTATTTTATGTGATATTCATATCTTAGTTGGAAAGGCAATTGAAGAGTACTGGAAGAAAAATGAGGTTCCAGTTTTATCTTCACTGAGCTGGCAGTGATTACAGCTGGTAGTTTAACCCCAACAGAATATTTTAAATTAATTTATTTTTTAACTGCCACTGTATTTCTAAGTTGTTTTTTTTTTTTTCAGGTTTTTATTATTGCCCTTTATGTTAATATACCGCTTTAAAAAAAATTCAGGTAGAGCAGTTTTGAAGTTGTTTATTCCCCAAAGTTTCAAGACTCAGGGCTAGTCACATTTTCCTGCGCCATAAGCATGCATATTTTCAACTTTCTGCTAGATGCACAAACATGTTATTGATTTAAAATAGTATTTCACAGCAACAGACACTTAGTTAATATATTTATTAAAATAGTAAAGTTTATAATTAAAAGTTAAGAAGTTTCAATAATGTTAATGCATAGAATAAAAACAGGATGCACTTCGTACAAACAAACTTACCCAAATTTTTCAAAATTCAATAGTAAAAATGTCAAGCATGAAACAATTGGCATCTGACTAAATAATTTTAACAAAGAAATATAATTAATCACAAGGGAATGTGAATCAAATTGAAATAATATTCTAATAAGTATCTATTAACAGAATAATTCTAAAAATAATACATTAGCAATTGTTTTTATTTTATGTACAGCATTGGTAAATGTACACCACAATGAAAATTTGAATAAATCGTAGAACATTGATATTAACATAACTTCTGGTAGTCCATGATCTTTGGACAAGCAACCAATTCATTTAATGTCACGGTCAACGGAACATATACTTCTACTGCATGTAGTTCAAAAACAAAACAAGTCATATTAAAAAGAGCATATTTAAAATGAACAATGTTTGTCAAATATATTTGTAAATTTTAAAAATTTATGTACTTTCAAACGCATTACTTTTATTATTTCTTCCACTAAACTAATGTTTTATGCATTATATCTAAAACTCATTTACTTGTTATTACTGATTATCTTTTTACGTCGATGGAATTTCAATTTGACTCTATTCTCGGGTCCTAAACAGGGATACTGCAAATTTTGATTGAACCCCTGTGGTAGAAAATTTAATTCTCTCAAATTCCATCTATGAGAATATTGAAGTAAAACTAAGAGTTGAGGCACTATAGGGCAAATCTGAGACAATAAAGCATATATTGAAAACGGTTGATTTTCAGAATAGAAAAAAAAATTAATATCACATGAAGATGTTTACTCTACATTAAATGAATAACTGATATCTTTGAAACATTTGATAAAATTCTTAAAACATAGAATATGTACCAACAACAAAATATGTAATTCAAATGAAAATAATTAGAAATATGTATGTTAGTTTGTTAACAAAAATTTTTAAAACACAAAATTGTTTTTTCATTAAAAAAAACAAACTTTTTGTTATAATTTCAAAATGGTCAATTTTGAGAATTTCATCTGTGTTAGATAAAGAGAATGGAATTGCAAGAGATTTAAATAAGATTTATGATTTAAGTGTTTCCTTTTGTGCAAGAGATCTACTAATGGTAAATATTTCAGTGAGCAGTTGTATTTGACAAAAATGAAACGCATTTCTCGCTATTAAACTTTCAAAGTAATTTACATTCAGTATTTAATATTATAAAATGTCCATTATTGTGAACTGAATTACTGTTAAGACAATCTTTCAAACATTCCCAATATAAATTATTTGATTTAAAATCACAGAAAAAGTACATTGATTAATTCTAAAACTTTTCACCTCAATTGCTAGTTATTATAATGTGTAAAAATATTTATTGAATATGGTACCAATTTTATTTGACATGTGAATAAGATAACATGTGACAGTTTTATAACTTGCTTATGTAGCATTCTCATTTAAAAGATTTTCAAATAATATAATGTAATGCAATGGCATTGATAATTTTATCGATAGTCAAGAATTGGCTGTGATTTGATATTTTTAAGTATTTGAATATGAAAATAAATCGATCTAAAAATCAAGCAATGTTTTCCCCAAAACAGTTTTTGCACATAAAGTTTTCCAAACAAATGTGTAGTTTATTCTTTCTGATAAGCCCTCCACTTCTCATACAATCTCATTTAAATGTCTGATTTTCCCATTCATTCTTTATAATACCAAAAATTAAGTTTTAGAATTTTACAGTATATATGTATAGTCTCAAATGTATATGAAAATAAAAATGATTGAATGAAAGAAAAGCGTTATTCAAATAAATCAAAAAATACTTTAACAAACTCAACTCAATTTTGTTTCATACTAACATGACATTCTCTCAGAGGCTGCTAGTAAATTTTAAAGAAGAATGTATCACAAAAAATATAAATTCTTAGGAGATGGTTTATATGTAAAAATACTTTTCTATTACTTTTTTAGAAAAGGAACAATTAATACTCTTTTTTCAAATTGGAATTTATTGGTATTTATATGTCAAAAATATTATGGCAAATTAACACTACCTACTGACAATTGCAATTCTTCTCATGAATCATTGTTCACGTTTCAATTTTCAGGTAATGAAGCTGCTGATAGAACATGGTATGACAGAATATGATTACATCTATGCTTTGCACAGAGCTGAAAGCAAATTCCAGAGCAAAATTGTGCACATTTTATTGACTCACCCTCTGTCACAGTGCTCTGAGGAAACTTTTGCAATAGTAAGTAATAATTCTGAGAGTGGTCTTGCTTTTTGGTTTTGTTGCATCTGGTTTAGCTGCTATTTATAGACACCCAAAAGACATTTTTTCATATTTTCTCAATTTTTTGTTCCCCTATAGTAGAATTGAAATATGTCTTTAAGGGTATAGAAGAGTTATATATTGTCCTACAAGGAAAATTTCATTGAACCTAGTGGTGCTAGTACATACTTACATTGTAACTTTTGCAGTTTTTGAAAATTCAAGAATTCAATGAAAAATGGATGTGCACCATTTGTATAAGTGTACTTTGCTCTATCCGAGAGAAAAGAAAGAAATTTGAAGTCGTTTCTCAAAACAAAAAACAACAACAAAAACAAAAAAATACTTGAAATCGCTTTTGTTACAGGCAAAATAATGAAAAAACTACTCATATTTAGAACAAATTGCACTTTATCATAAATAAAGGTGTATTTTTTGAAGAGCAAGTATTATTACGGAAATATCCCTATCTTTAAAATTGAAGATGTGAGAAAACGCCGAAAAAATGTAAACTTTTGCAATTTTTTAGCCACATCAGCTCGACCGATTGTTGATTATTAATTTTTAATGCCTACGGTTTAAATGCTGGCATTGTTTAGGGACGGGCAGAGGCGACCCGACAATGTAAGAAAGTTAAAGCTGCATCAAAAAAGTGTTACCTGTAGAACCCTACTAAGCGGCCACTTCTTGTAGAAATGACTGTAAAATGCTGTATATGGACGCTAAACAGTGAATTTCTACCGTGAGAAAAGTACGTGTACATTTGTACGAAAACTTATGTCATTAAAATCAGAAGTGAGCATATAAGATCGCTAAATCGTGATGTTTCTGAAATTTCACTCTTAAGATATGTAGGAAGATGATCCACAGGTCACTGATTGAGGTCCGGTTCGGAAGGAACATGATCCGGCTTGAAGGACCATGTTCGGGCTACTGCGTCTAATTCTGAGTGGACTGTATTGATACAGTGATGGCGGAACACAGCAGTCCCGAAATCCTTTGATAGCTTAGGGAGGATTTATGAAGGAGTTCTGGATTGACAGGCGCAGTCAGTAGCCCGTACGTAAGATAACATAAGATCGCTAAATCGTGATGTTTTTGAAATTTCATTCATAAGACATGTAATCTTGTTTTCATGATTCAACAATTGTTTCGTATTTTTTATAAACACTTGTCGGACACGTTTATTACGTTCGAGTGACCATATCCCTTAGGGCAAGGACAACATTTTTTCTTTGTACACTTGAAACTAATCATGATTTTATTGAAAAAGTATATCTACTTTGCGAATATTATCTTGCAAATCATTATTTACCACTAATGTATACTCTGTTGCAGGTAAGAGGCGGAATGCCAACTCTAAAAGAATCAGAACAACTCAGACTTAGCAGACAGTTATTCGAAGAACACAGAAAAGATCACAAGACAGAACAGTGCAATGTACCTCTCCACTGCTTGGCCTACGAAGGCAACGCCACGACATTGCAGAAAGAACTGTCTTCCCCAGCGATCGATCATCGACATCTGATGTTCGGCATGACCCCACTCCACATAGCGGTGCACAAAAGACACGTGGAATGCGCGAAGTTCCTCGCAGACTACGACCATTTCGTGAACCACGCAGATTCTGATCGATTCACCCCGTTGCACTGCGCCGTTGAAATCGGTCACGTAGAAATGGTGCAGTTGCTCTTGAAAAAAGGAGCAAGTGTTGCTTTGGGAGTCGAGTCCGGACTCACTCCGCTTCATCTCGTTGCTCTATTAGACCGAATCCCGTGTCTTGCCCCGCTGCACGAGAACGGTTCCGACCCGAACTCGACTGACGATTACGGATTCACCCCTCTGCTCATCGCCGCAGCAATGGGGCGCATGACCTTGACAGAGAAACTCCTCGCCTTGGGCGCGGACCCTAATTTGAAGTCCTCCAGAGAGTCTTCTCCCCTGCACTTCATCGCAGAGCGAGACGACGAACCGGCTGCCAAATGCTTGTTACAGAACCGAGCGAACCCCCACGAAACGAACAACTTTGGACGTGCACCTGTGCACGTCGCCGCCAGACATGGATCTCTGAACGTCATCAAAACGTTACAAGGCTTCGGGGCCGAAATCAACTCCCTAAGCCGGGACGGCAAAACCCCACTGCACTACGCCTGCTTCGGCGGCCAGCAGGAATGCGTCGACTACTTGCTGGCGAACGGAGGCATCGTCGATCACAGGGACTCCCGCGGCTTGTCGGCGATTCACTGCACGGCCTACGCAGGCCGCGAGCAAGTCGTCAGCAGGCTGCTGACGGCGGGGGCGGCGATGAACCAGACGACGCGTTTCGGGACCACGCCGCTCACGCTGGCCGCCTACAACGGGCACTTGCCGTCCGTCGAGCGCTTCCTGCAGCACGGCGCGGAAGTGAACGGGTGGAACGGCGGCGGATACGGTGCTCTGCACGCGGCCGCCGAAAACGGACACGTGAGCGTGGTGGAGGCGCTTTTGGACGCAGGGGCCAACCCGAACGCCAGACCGGACGTGGGCGCGGAAAGCGCTGGAAGGAATACCGTCGGCCTCACGCCGCTGTTTCACTTCCGTTCGTTTTCCCGCGATTCCGACGAAGCGAGAAAGCGCCGGGAGGAGTTGGAGAGTCTCGCGGAGCCCGGGGAGAGCGGAGACCACACGTCAAACGCCGGCGGCACGCCCCTCACCCTAGCCGCCAGCAACGGCCACGCGCTGTGCGTCGACTGTCTACTGCGACGCGGGGCACAGGCGGAGCTGCGGGACGGCGGCGGGTTCGCGCCTCTGCACAGGGCGTGCCAGGCCGGCCACCTGGACGTGGCGGAGGCGCTCTTGAAGGCCGGGGCGTCCGTCAACGCGGCGTGCGGCGACGGAACGCCCGTGTACCTGGCGGCCAGCTGTCGGAAGTGGGACTGCGTTGACTTTCTGCTGACGAGCGGAGCCGACGTCGACGGCGTCCACTCGAAGGTCACTCTTCTACACATCGCCGCCAAGCACGGGCAGCTGCAGGTGGTGAACAGGATCTTGGAGATGAGGCCGGCAGGCGAAGCACAGCCTAGAGGTGGAGACGCTGATTTGGACAGCGTATCAGAAACGAGGCCGAGCGTGGAAGTCGAGCTAAC